ATAGAATAGAATAGAATAGAATAGAATAGAATAGAATAGAATAGAATTCTTTATTGGCCAAGTGTGATTGGACACACAAAGAATTTGTCTTTGGTGCATAAGCTCTCAGTGTACCTAAAGAAAAAATAAAAATGTATTTATCAAGGATCATAAGATACAACACTTAGTGATAGTCATAGGTTACTAATAAGCAATCAAACCATACTAGGAAACAAATAAAACAATATAAATCGTGAAGATACAAGCAACACGGTTATAGTCATAAGTGGGAAGAGATAGGTACTAGGAAGGATGAGAGGAAGAATAGTAATACAGTCTGAGTAAATAAGTTGACAGTGTTGTGGGAATTAATGGTTTAGCAGAGTGATTGCCTTGGGTGGGGGGACCTTCCAGGAAGGGGAGCTGGAGCAACATCCTTGAACCCCTGGATCACAGCAGGATGTGCATACAGCTGCATGTTGAAAAAGGACAGCCAGTCAAAATATACTTAGCAAAAGGCTTCCAGACTGTTCATCGAGACTGGCTGAGATCATACGTGCCACTAATGTGTAAGGTGGATTGCTAGGTTCGTTCAGCTTTGCATGTTGGACGAATTCAACAGTGGCAGATTGCAAACCACAGACTGTGGCTTTTGTCGTAAGGCGGCTAAAGGGCAGCGGGAGCTTAATGTCACCCACCATAGTCTGCCTGCCCTTCTGCATTATGTAACGTACATCACAGGCATTTTTGCCTCCTATCCCATTTCAAAGTCAGTGGTGTGACCTTTGTTGGCTTAATCCCTGCTGTGACACAGGGACTTTGTATGAGAGAAATGCAAGAGAACAACGTTCCAGTGGCATTGCAGACTTAAACGTTACTTGGACATGATTTCTAAATCCTTATTTGGAAATCCAATCAAATTTCGTAGTACTACTTCGGGTAACATACATGTAAGTATCTCAATGCAGGAACAGATTTTTTTTTTTTAAAAAAAGTCTGAAACTGCGATTCTTAGCAGCGTGGCTCTTGACCAAACCAAATTGGCTGAGGGATAAATTTGGCAGTTTCTTTAATCAAAATCTAATTCTCATACTTTTGACTTAAAGTTTCCTTAAAGTGATATCTCTGGAACTAGGAGCTGTACTTATTTTGCACAAGGTGGCACACATGGGCTGTGTTTCCACAATGCACATATTAATCGGTGTTCTGGATTGGAATGTGTACAGTTAAGATTAACTGTTTCTGGCTTTGCAAAAAAATTACTGAAGGATAAACAAAATGTTATGAGCTTGATACTTAAAACCTGCCAAGTCATTTTAATAAAAGGCCAAGATTAAAACTAAATAAGCATAGCCTGTGGTAGGTTTTTAATAGATCTGGTTAAGTGCATTGAGTAAACTCAAGCCGAGAACCACAAACTACATGAATTGGGTTAATGTGCACATGATGAGAATTTCTGGAACTGCACTTTTTTATAGGGTATAAATACAAGAATCTTGAAAAGCTAACAGATCTTCTCTATGGCATCCTGTTGAGACAGTCAAGGTGGATCGATTTTGAGTTTCTTCCTCACCTTTCCAAGCCAAGGTGATGTTTTTGTATCGGTTGCTGCATTCTTTCCTCAAGATTATCTCTGTTACATCGTCCTCTTACAATTAGGATGTTCCTCCTTTTTGCTCTTCACAACAATCCTGTGAGATAGCTTAAGCGAATCGTTGGCTTCCAAGGAAGGATTTGATACCATCTCTGACTGGGTTTGATCTACAACTTAGCCACTCTGATGCCTTTTATTTATGTATACATTTTTTGCTCAGGGGTTTAAGCGGTGTAGGGGGGAGATATTTTGGAAGAAGGCTTTATCGCAGGGAAAGTATTAAATCTTACAAAAAGGAGGACTGGGAGGAGCTATTAAGCCTTCTGTCTTGGTCACGGTTACTTGATGTTGATATAGGCGATGGCAGCTTTGTTTTCAAGTTGAACTTCTGTCTGTTTGATCTTGGTTGAGCTGAGAAACCAAACAGGGTTGGGCCTAGTTTAAATTTGGATGAGAGAGATATTTCCAGAGCTGAACAGGGAAGGTGAACAATACCCAGAGCCAGTCCATAGTAAACTATTTTCATGTTTCTTTCTAAAAAAAATTGTAACTATGCCATGAATTTTTGGGGTGGGGTGTGGGCTATATTTGATGTGGACTGCTCCAAATTGGAATTATGTGAGGTAAACGTGATATAAGTGTGAAAATCTATCATAAATGACTTTTTTTTCGGTGCGGTTGTCGTTTTGTAACACCTCTGTGCCCCTCATTAGAGCAGCCCTTGTGTTCTGAAACACCTCTTGGAACTAAATTCAGAGGATTGCACAACTTAGTAATATAGATAAGCCAGGAAGGCCTCGGTCTTCCAGGATATTACCACATTGATACCCTGTGTGTTTAGGGGCACAGAGAGAAAGAGAAAGCACAAATAATACCTGCCTGCCTCCGTCTGCTGACCTTTGGAATTATGTTGGATTTCAACCTCCCAAAATCTCCAGCAATATGACAGGACCATGAAGGCCGTTGGTAAGATTGTAAATAGGAAAATGACGGCTGATTATACACACACACACACACACACACACACACACACACACACTAATTGAGCCAAAACTATGGTTTCTTGCTGCCAAGCACCTGAATTTTGAGACCCTGGGGATGCTGCAAGGTTGTAGGTGTGAAAAACACTCCTAAGTCTTTTTTTTCGGTGTGCTGTCGTAATTTTGAACCATTGTAAGTCAAGGATTAGCTGTACATCTCCTAAATGAGTCAAGTCTCTGGGAACCAAGCTCCTCTCCAACTTTTTTCAGGTAGCTCGAATCCCTGAAGTTAGGCGTTTTTAATTTCTCTTAAATAAGTGGCTCTCGGACGTGGCGCTCCAAAAGTACAGTTAGTCTCTCAAGCACCTTTTGGAGTGCTGCCACGGCAAGACAGGCAGCCACGCCGGGCACGTGGACGGAAGAGAAGAAGCACAAGAGAGAGCTCGATGGAGGGAAACTCCGGTGCTGGTGCTGCCCGTGTTCTCTTCATCTTTGAGCCATGCTGCCAAACACCCCCCCCCCCCAAACATTATGAAGAGGGAGCCTTGCCAGCCGGTTTGGCTAAAATCGGAAACTTCTTGCAAATTAAGGTTTTGGGTGGGGAAAAATGTTTCTCATAGAAAGGGAGGTAAAACCAGCAGTTGGTGGGTCTGTGTGCGTAACTCTCTGCAGCTTTTAACAAAAGAATTTGCTTTGGCACGGCAAGAAAGGCAATTTCACTATGCCCTTTAGACAAAAACAAAAAACAAAAAAACCCCAGTGAAGGATTCTCTGTTTCTAATCCACAAAACAATCCGTGCTCTCCCCTCCTTTCTGCAGAGTTAGCGAGAGCTGTTGTTTTTTCCAACATGGCTTGGATGTTTTGGCAAAGGCCGCTCAAAAGTTCTGGCCTTCTTTGCCTCTTTTGTCAGGAAGCAAAGCAAAGCAGTGTTGAAATAGCGGAGCAGGTTCGATTTCATTTTGGCTGCCACCGGGGATGGAGAAGGTCCCTCTGCCTTGATAAATTGGCAGAAGGAGCACGGGGGGAGGGGGTGGGAAGCCAGGGGTCCTCCTGCCCTAATTGAAAGTCCCTCACTCTTTGTGCTGGATGCATTTTGTGCCTCGGCGAGTCTGTATTCCTGGCTAGGACAAACCTCCACTGTTTAGGCTGTGCCGCTTCCAGGGATTGGTTTGGACTGCTCACCCAGTTTGCTTTAGTCATTCCATTTCTGGCAGGGGGCATTTGAGAAGAACAGCACATTCCAAGCTCCAAAAAAAGAGGTCATTTTCTGCTCTTTTAAAGGTCCGAGAAGATGGCCAAGGCCAGCAGCACCACCAGACGGCTTTGGAAGTTCCTCTGGACCGCTGCCCTCACCCTCTGCGTCCGTCTGCAGGTAAGCGAGAGCGATGATCATGAATCAGATGAGGCAAAGTTAGTATAGCATCATGGTCAAAACTCTGGGCCAGGGAGATGGTTTGCAGTGCCGACTCAGGTACAATTAAGCCTGGGACTCTCAAAGATGTATTTTTTAAAAAAATATATCAGAAAGAATGAAAATGTAATTTGTATGTGGGGGTTCTCAGTCATCCATCAGGTCATGGCTGTTCCAAATGTGCTTTTTTTTCAGGAGGCAATTGGACTTTCTGGTTTTTCTTTTGAAGGCGTTTCGCTTCTCATCCAAGAAGCTTCTTCAGCTGTGACTGGATTGTGGGGAATGGAAGGATTCAGTCAGAGCTGAAGAAGCTTTTTGGATGAGAAGCGAAATGCCTTCAAAAGAAAAAACCAGAAAGTCCAGTTGCCTCTTGAAAAAGCAGTTTTGGAAGTCAATTGCATTTTATTTTAGCAATTTTAATTAAGCAAATTAATTAAGTAATTAAATAAGTTAATTAGGTAATTAAGTAAATAAATAAACTTTTATTTAAGTACATTTTATTTTATTAAAAAGCATGGAAATGGACAACATTTTAACCACAAGAGTGATGATTTTATTTCTAACTTGCAAGTGTAGCCTGATGTGTTTTGGTTTTATGGTTTATGATTTTATAGTGCCTGGGTTTGATTGTTGTTATAAGCCACCCAGAATTATGTTTAAGATGGGTGGCCATACAGATCTTTTAAATAAACAAATAAATTCTAAAAGTGAGTTACTTTGAGAATATGAGACAGACATCACAACAACTGATTATTATGACTATGGAAAACCACATGAAATATATTTAATGCTATTATGTCTATGGAGGGAGGCCCCCGGGAAGCAGAAGAGTCAAGGGCCACAGAAATCACCATGTGCTACTAAGATGGAAGCTTCACAGGTGTCTTTGGACACTTTTCTTCCTGAGGCAAATCTACCTCACAGTGTTGTTGTTCTGGAGAAAAGAATTGAGGCGAGAATGCCTTGTTTCTTCCTTGAGCTCCTGGAGGAAAAGCTGGATATAAATGTAATAGTATATCACTGTTAGGAAAAATCAGCAACTCACGGAAACAGTGGAGGACAGCTAGAAGCATCCACCCTGTGGTAACATCAGGCAACAGTTTTCAGAATAGGCACCACACAAAGTTTTGTAACTTTTGTCTTGGGTAATCAGAAGAGCAATGTTGCGTAAAGAGATCTTCCATATCTTTCAGAGTCAGCAAATGAAACCTGTAGGTCACGGGTCTTCCAACTTGACAGCTTAAAGACTTGTGGACTTCAACTCCCAGAATTCCTCCCCCAGTCATGTTAGCTCAGGAATTCTGGGACTTGAAGTCCACAACTCTTAAACTTGCCAAGTTTGAAGACCCTTGCTCTAGGTCAATGTTTCTCAACTTTGGCAACTTTAAGATGCATGGACTTCAACTCCCAGAATTTCTGTTAGCCGTTCTCCATTGTGTTTGTCCCATTGACCAAAACTCTAGAACAGTGGTTGCCAACCAGTGGGCTGCAGCCCACTGGTGGGCCCTGAGAAAATTTTGGTGGACCACAGAGAAATCTCACCCCCAGAGCACCCCCCACAAAGCAATTAATCTAGGCTGTGCAGAAACACAAGGCTGTGCCGCCCACATGGCCCACGGGAACCCTCCCCACCCACCCACTCCTTACCTGGCAAACTTGCCTGCTAAGTTGCTATTTTTCCTTTTTCTGACCATCAGCTGTTCTGCTGTGCCGGGAGATTTAGATTAGCTAGGAAGTAGGAAATGGTTGGATTTCTTGCTTTCTAGCTAGTCTTTAAATCTTCGGCTTAGGACTGAAGATTTAGGACTTAGGTTCTATTATTCAATGCAGACTCATGGCAAGCAAATTTTATGTGACAGACTCAAGTAGCCGATGGCAGATAGATAGATCACTGAATGATTCTGTGAGCAACTCAATCTCCCTGCCTGCTTTGCCTGGTTTTGGGTAAAAATTGCTCTTTTTTATAAAAAAATATATCAATATTTATATAAATATTTATAATATTTACATACAAGCCATGCCCAGCCAGTCACATGACCACCAAGCCACACCCACAAATTAGGCCACACCCACAGAACTGGCTAGTGGTCCCTGGGATTTAAAATTATGAGTTTGGTGGTCCCTGAGATCCAAAAGGTTGGAGACCCCTGCTCTAGAATACCACAAAGAACTCACTGAGAATGAGTTTCCTATTGGCTGAGGAATTCTGGGAGTTGAAGCCCACCCATCTATACACTGCCAAAGTTGAGAATCACAGCTCTAGACAGTTGGTGCCTAAGGGTAAAACCTCCACTCCCTCCACCCCCCCCCCCCATGTTGCTTATATAGACCTCCCTGAAGCCCTTGTCTCAAAAGGCAAGGATGGAAGAATGATGCTGGGAATTATGGGTCATAAATTCCTTCCTCTTTCAAAAGGAATTTACAATTTCCCACATAAGATACTTTTAACTATTCATTGCACAAACTTCTCTGTGAGTTCTTTATTGTACCTTAGAGTTTTGGTTTGCAGGCAAACATGAAGAAGAAATTATCACATTTTTAACTTAACTGACTTGTAGTGGTGTAGTCTTGTGCAAAAGGGCACAGAAGCAAAGGGGTGAAGATTAGATACCGAACCTCTCCCTGTTTCCCCCAAAAGACAGTTATGAATTTGTCAGGCAGACTCTTCTGTGAAGTATTTAGTGTTATCTTTGACATACTTGTGCATTGACAATGTAACCGCAAAGCTTACACAAACCTCTGCTTTTACTTTATGACTGATGGTAGCTTTCTAATTAATATTCTTGTGATCTAAACAGCTGTTACTCCTCCCTTTTTTTTGGCAGAATTTACACAGGGTAGTAAAGAGGAAAGCTGAGAGCTCAGTCCTGCTTTAGAAGCAATTGCATACTGATGTGTTTTTATATTGTAGAATGGCTTTTTCCCCCTTTAAAGTTTCCTCAAACACTAACAAAGCGGGAATGGGTTACCACAATAAAACTGCTTATTTATTTAAGGCATTTGCAAGGCCAATATCAATAGTGGAAGACACTGAGCAATGACAGATTTTGAAATATACACCATGAAGTCAACATAAGGAATCGACCAAACCAGCAACCAGATTTCTGCCTGAAAGCTAAAAGTCTGTAGAGATTCTCTGCCATCCAGTTCGTGGTTGTCCCAAAAGTGCTTTTTTCAGGAGGCAACTAAAACTAAGTTTTTTCTTTTGAAGACGTTTCACTTCTCATCCAAGAAGCTTCTTCAGCTCTGACAGGATAGTATTCCCCATTATCCTGTCAGAGCTGAAGAAGCTTCTTGGATGAGAAGCAAAACGCCTTCAAAAGAAAAAACAAGGACGGCTTAGTTGCCTCCTGAAAAAAGCACTTTTGGGACTGTCTGAAAACTACTGGATTGAATGCCCTCTAAAATTATACAGTGCTCGTTCTTGTACTATGGAGTCTCAAAGGGGCTTTTTCAAAAGGCAACTGGACTATATGTTTTTTTCCTTGAGGAAGACATTTTGCTTCTCATCCATTCTTGGATGGAAGCCCCTTTGAGACAACCGTAACCTGGATGACTGAGAATCTCCATAAAAACGTATCTACAGAATTCTCTACAGATGTTGATAATGCGTCCATGAGTTGGACTTCTGAGGCTGGTGAGAAAGAGGTTGTTGTCATTCCTTCTGTGACAACACCTGACACCTGGGAGTGGGAGGGTTATAGAGACTAGCAAGGAAAGAGAAGATAGACATTGTTGCTTAAGTGTGGATCCATGATGATGCTTTTTGGGTGTGGCCATCTGCAGCTCTCTACATGGCTCACAATCTAGCTAACTATGAGGAATATTTAAAACTTGGCCTCCTGTATATTCCTATTGATTTCGAGAGGACAGATTGCTATGCAATCATATTCTGGATGTGGATGAAGCTCCACGATGTTCAGGGTGCATATCGGTGGAGATTTAGATACAGGTGATGGGTTAGAGAGACTCTTTATTAGTGCAAAACAAATAATGAAAAGCTGTATTTGATTTATGTTCAGTGTTGCTAGAAAGAATAATACAACTATCCTGGAAAATGATCTATAGAGAAATATGGTTTCTAGAAAACATCCAGCTAGTTATGTTTCCAAATGCATGCATGGAATGTAAGTTAACCCAACTGAATTGTAAAACAATGTTCAAAGTGCCCTTAAGGCTGTTGTTACAAGACTGTTGCGAACTGTTAACTGTTGGTATTTACCATCAAGATGGGCAACTTCTATTGCCTCATAATTTTATTGCACTGAACTTTACCAACTTTACCAACATTCTGGCCGATTGAGGAGAATGACTTACAAAGTTTTTGTTTTTATTTTGCTGCCATGACATATATCATTTTGCAAGATTTTTACCAGCTGAAGAACAGCAGTGGCTGAAATGGTATAGTTTAGAAGTATAAATTTCACATGACTCTGATCTGCATAATTGTTCATCTCCAATAGTGGTCCATGACTCTGTAAGTTTTCTGTTTCAGATATATTTTAAAAAAAGACATGGGCTGCACTCTCAGAGTGGTTTACTTACAGAATCAAGCCTATTGCCCCCAACAATTTGGGTCCTCATTTTACTGACCTCTGAAGGATGGAAGGCTGAGTCAACCTTGAGTTGGTTATGATCAAACTCTTGGCAGTGGGCAGAGTTAGCCTACAAAACTGCATTTTATCCACTACACCATCCGATAAAACCTAGAAATCATAAAATAGCATTACAATAAAGCCAAGATCCCTAAAAACCATAACCTCATCAAACCACTCGGTTTGGGCTCAATATCGCAGAAACTTTGGCTTTCTTTCCATCTGGCTGATTCAACATCTAACCAGCTGGAGGCCAAATATTTTTTTTAATGGTTCTTTCCTTTCTTCCTGTTTTCGAAGTCGTTATTTCATTTGTGTTGTGAATTGTCCGCGAAGAGGTGAGAAGTTAATGCGAATAACACCCAT